CACTATGTTTTTTGGTTTCTGGGCTTCCAGAGTCTGTACATAGAACTTTTAAAAAGCACCCTTTTCCCTTTGCAGCCGCAAACAAACTGCTTTTGGCTCTCAGGGGGAGGAAGGGGTCTGGGGGGTCTGGCTGGGGTACAGAGGTCTACAGGTCTCTGTCTCGGGGGGCTGTCTGTGCTATTTTTTTTGGTTTCTGGGTGGGAGGCTCTCTCTGGAGCAGGCAGTCTACAGTAACCAATGTTAGCACAAGCATGGCACAAATCTAAGACACTTGCTGCATACAGCACTCGTTCACAGTTTTCAGAAAAACACCAGCCACAAAAAAAGACCATCCTTTGCCACCCAAAAACAGTCAAAAGCACCCAGGGACTCCATTTTCCCACCCCCACCTCGCAGAATCAACCCTGTGCTCCACACACTGGCCCCCAGGGGGAGGGGCGGCCTGTGGCCGCCCCCACAGCACCCTCCCCTACCAGCAACCACGTGATTCCCCCCTCCTGCCTTCCCCCAGCACACACACACGTCATCATGGAGCGGGGGGGCCACCTGTCACCCGTGAGATGAGAAGAAGTATACCCCATATCTTCTCATAGTCGAAAGACAGCCCTACAACAGACCCGAAAGATGGTCATCCAGCCTCCGCTTGAAAACGCCCAGCGAAGGAGCATCCACCACCTCCCGAGGCAGTCTGTTCCACTGCTCAACCACTCTGACAGTTAGGACGTTTCTCCCGATATTTAGCCGGTAACGACTCCCTTGTAATTACCACCCATTAGATCTAGTCTTGCAATCCAGAGCAAGAGAGAATAGATCTGCTCCATCTTCTACATGACAGCCCTTCAGATATTTGAAGACTGCAATCGTGTCCCCTCTAAGCTTTCTCTTTCCCAGGCTAAGCATACCCAACACTTTCAGCCTTTTCTCCTAAGACTCGGATTCCAGCCCTCTCACCATCCTGGTTGCCCTCTTCTGGACGCACTCGAGCTTGTCAACCTCCTTCCTCAAATGTGGTGCCCAAAACTGGATGCAGGACTCCAGGTGAGGCCTGACCAGAGCAGAATAGAGCGGAACTACCACTGCCCGTGATCTGGATACAAGGCTTCTGTTAATGCATCCTAAGATTGTATTCGCTTTCTTCGCAGCTGTTCACTGGTCGACCTCCTGAGGGCACCTGGGGTTTGGCCACTGTGTGACACAGGAAGGGCCACTGGCCTGATCCAACATTGGCTTCTCTTGTGTTCTCATGAATCATGGAAAACATGTGAGCGGGGGTGGGAGGGCCTTAAAGCCACGATTAGATTTGGGGCAATCGATGCTACATTTCTGTGGGGCTGTTTTTAGTTAGGCTCCTGGAAGGTGATTCAATGCACCTGAGATGCAGTGGTCAAATTTTTCAAAAAAATTGTGGTGCTCTGTCATGGAGCAACCCCGTTGAAGAAGGTAACGGCGGTGACCCAGACCTCATTGCTGGTGGGAAGGGGCTCGCTGTACGGTCCACTTACAAGAGCTCCACCCCACCACCTGGTTCTCCACCATATGGGCCTTGAAGTCCTTCCAGAAGAAGAAGAAGAAGAAGATATTGGATTTATAGCCCGCCCTTCACTACCCAAGGGAGTCTCAGAGCGGCTGAAAAACTCCTGTCGGTTCCTCTCCCCACAACAGACACCCTGTGAGGTAGGCAGGCCGGAGAGAGCTCTGAAACTGCTCTTTTTCAAGAACAGCTGTGTCAGGACTATGGCTTGCCCAAGGTCATCCAGAAGCTGCAAGTGGCAAAGTGGAGAATCAAACCCGGTTCTCCTCCCAGATTAGAGTCCGCGCACTTAACCACGACACCAAACTGGCTCTCAGCAAGACCCTTTCGACCTTCTTGGATGTTGCCCTATTGTGGCTGGTTGAGAAGAAGACCCCAACACAGGTCCCAAAATGTAGGTCCGCCACTGGTGGTGGGACAGGTCGGCCGAGGAGGGTGGCTTTTCAGGGACTGGGTTCCATTTGCCCCCGGGGAGCTCCCTGTCAGCCAGGCTGCAGGTGACTTCCTCCACTCCTAGACTGGCTCCTCCCAGCCATGGGCTTATAACTTGGGGTGGCTCGGTCCCTCTTGGACTCTTGGAGCTGGCACCCAGCACCACCAGCACCACCACCACCACCATGAAGCCCGGGGGCCTCTTGCTCCTCCTGGCATCCTCTGCCCTCTGGGCTGAGCTGCTGGCTGCACCAACCAAAGGTGAGGAGGGACGGGAGTGGGACTGGGCTCTGGTGGGTTGCGTGCACCAGCCCTGTGAGGGAGGGCGGGAGGGCGGGTGTTTGTCACTAATGGTGGTGGTGTGCAGATGCGGCCTCCTGAGGAGGAGATGATGAGAATGGCAGCTCTTGCCACTCCCAGGCGAGGGCAGGTGCCAGATCTGGAGCAGGGGGCGGGCGGGCGGAAGAGTACCAGGCATGGATTGCAGAAGAGTTCTGGAGAAAGAAAGGCAGGCTGCCTGTCCGGCTCAGCTTCTGCACTAAGAAGGCTGTCGGACAAAGTGGTTGGTTGCTGCGTGCATGCTATGGAACACAGAAATCCAACAGCCTTCTGGGTGTGCTTCGCCTGCAGAGTTTCCGCATGGCATTCAGCTGTGAAAGGCACAGGTGCCTTGGCTGTGGAAAAGGCGGCCACCCCTTGATGCTGGAGGCACAAGCCTCTTCGGGGAGTGAAAATGCGTTTTGCTAAGCAATGCTGTTCAGCTGAGCCGAGGAGCCAGGAACTTCCTGGGAAGCCAAACTGGGAATGAGTGCAAGGGAGAAAATCCAAGCCCGACAGAAAGTGACGCAGCGGCTTCTGTTCCCCTGGAATGCCGGGTTCTCCATCAGCCACAATCCCAAGAGCAAAAGAGCACACTCGGATAGGGCTCGCTGGCTCCTGAGGCCCGTAGCTAGGAACTGTGTGCTAAAAGGACGGTTGCCTGGAGCACATAATCTGCTTTAAAAATTTTTTTCTATCCTGCATTCCAGTTTTTTTAAAATACTGAGGTGTCTAGCAGCTTATCACAGAACAATCTCTGTGTGTGTTGTGTGTGTGTGAAGTGCCATCGAGTGGGTTCTGTCTTATGGTGACCTGACGAATTAATGTCCCGCCATTACCAGCCTTGCTCCAGCCTTGCAAAGGGAGGGCCTTTGCGGCTTCCCCGACAGAGACAATCCGTCTCACATTGGGCCGCCTTCTTTTCCTACTGCCGCCAATTTCTCCTTGTGTCATTGAGTTTTCCAGGGAGTCTTGCCTTCTCACCATGTGACCAACACACATTCTCCTCGCTCCATGGATCTCAGGGCCACCCACCAGCTTCTCCCTTTCTGGATTCTACCCTTTCGCTCACCCTAGAAGTAGGCCAGGTGGTGTGATGCCAGAGGGGGCAGATTGGCACTTTGGTCTTCCCAGTCCCAGCTGGGCCATCATGGCCAATTTCTGCCCTCTATTTATTTGCAATATTTCAGTCCCCTGCTGTCATGGCTCAGGTGGGGTGTCACCTGACGCTGCCACCACTCTGGATTTAGGATCCTTTGAAAAAGCCCAGAGCACCCTCCCAAGACCTTCAGACCTCCCTTTTGACCGAATAATAGGCGTGAGGACCAGGCAGAGTACAACAAGGAAAAGGTTTATTTTATAGGAGGTGCAGAATAACAGTAAGTGGGTGAAAAGAAATCAAATGCCCTTACACATCTAAATAAACTGTCCCTAGCTCACAATCTGCAGTGGCACTAGACTACTCACCCTTCCCTCAGGATGAGGGTCTCTTCCCCGCAGCAGCCTTCCTTTTGGCTCTGCCCTCTGGGAGGAAGAACAGCTCTTCCTGCTGCTCCAGATCTTTTATTCCAAGCCCTCCTCTTTTCCTATTGGTCAATTTTGGCTCCCAAAACTCGCAGGCCAGCTTATATCCCTCGAGAAACCGCCGCCCAAAACACACCTCTACTTCCCTATAGGTTATTTACAGTGGCCGAGAGTCTCATAGGCTCTCGGCCGGGAACCTAGCCCCCTGATTGGAGCGGGCTAGGATCCGCATAGTCCATTGTCTCTTGGAGCGAAGCTCGGCGTTTGTCTCTGGACTTGTCTGGACTGGATACATTACACACCCTGATCTAGAGGGCCCTGGCTAGCCCGATCTCATCAGATCTTAGAAGCTAAGCAGGGTTGGCCCTGGTTAGTACTTGGATGGGAGACCACCAAGGAAGTCCAGGGTCACTATACAAAGGAAGGCAATGGCAAGCCCCAGTTCAGAACAGACATGTCTCACCTAGAATCATAGAATGTTAAGAGGTGGAAGGGACCCTGCAGGTCATCTAGTCCAACCCCCTCTGCACTCCGCAGGAGCAGAGCCGAAAGATGGCCCTGCAACAGACCCAAAAGATGGCCGTCCAGCCTGCGCTTAAAAATGTCCAGTGATGGAGCATCCACCACCTCCCGAGGCAGACCGTTCCACTGCAAAAACCTGACTGGATTCAAAAGGAAGAGAAGAAGAAGAGAAGATGGGATGTATACCCCATGGCCCTTCACTACCCGGAGGAGTCTCAGAGCGGCTCACAAACTCCTTCCCCTCCCCCTCCCCACAACAGACACACCCTGTGAGGTGGGTGGAGCTGAGAGAGTTCTGACAGAAACGGCTCTTTTTCAAGAACAGCTCTGACAGAACTATGGCTTGCCCAAGGTCATCCAGCAGCTGCAAGTGGAGGAGTGGGGAATCAAACCCGGTTCTCCCAGATTAGAGTCTGTGCACTTAACCCCTACACCAAACTGGCTCCTTGAAGGAGGTGGAGGAGATTGGAGTTATACCCCGGCCTTCACTACCCGAGGGAGTCTCAGAGCGGCTTGCAAACTCCTTTCCCTCCCCCTCCCCACAACAGACACCCTGTGAGGTAGGTGGGGCTGAGAGAGCTCTGACAGAAACGGCTCTTTTTCAAGAACAGCTCATCAGAACTATGGCTTGCCCAAGGTCACCCAGCCAGGTGCACCTTGCCATGTGCAGGTGCACACTCACTTCTGCATCCTGACTCTCAGTAGCCCTTTCTGGCAACTAACAACCCCCCCCCCCCCAATATGAAATGGTTGAGGAATTCTTGTTTCCATGGATCTGAAGAAGTGTGCGTGCACCGGGAAAGCCTCTACCGTGAATAAAACGTTGTTGGTCTTAAAGGTGCCCGACTGGACCAAACGTTGTGCTGCTGCTCCAGACCAAAACAGGGACCCCCCACCACCCACCCTCATCTCTCCCGGAAGCCAGGGTAGAGGCGGAGAGGGCGCCCTCTGCGGCTCCAGACCTCCAATGCCTGGAGGTTCAGCCCATCATAGGCATTTTCGTGCTTAAAGGCATTGCGGGATCCTTTGTGCCGAAGGACGCTTGCCCCGGGCCATGGGGAGGCGCACACGACTTGGACGGCTCCCTGGCGCAAAGAGAAATGCTTCTGCCCCGGGGGTTTGCCTGCGTTCCTTGAGCTGCGCGGCAGGCAGAGAGGGCTGCCCGACGGCTGCAGCAGACCCGCCCTCTGGATGCGGAGCCCCACCCGCCCGCCTGTCTTTTGGGCTTCCTCCGGAGCCGCGGCCTCGCAGACGGCTGGGGCCTGGCGCCCTCCTGCGGATCCCACCAAGGGGACGGGCTGGCAGGCAGCTCAGCTGCGCCTCGCTTTCCTTTGGCGCGAAGCTGCCCTACACGCCCATGGCTGCCCTCCCTTCCCTGGGAGGCTGCTTTGGCACCCGCCTCTCCCTCCCTCCCTCCCGCAAGAGGGATCAGGGATGGGGCCCTAATTGCTCGATTCGTCAGCTTAATTCCCCCCATGGCGGCTGACTGACGAGGGCACCAGGGCCCGTTGCCAGAGCTGACGGTGGGGATGGCTCGTGAGCACCTGTCCTGGGCCAGCAGCGGACTCTGTGCCAACCTCTGGGGTGTGTGTGTGTGTGTGTGGGGAGTAGAAGAGGTGAAACGGGACCTTCTGGCTCCCTCCTGGGAGAATGGCATTTGTGGTCTGGACCCTGGGCGCTGGTTGGCACGGATCCTCCCTGTTGGTTACAGTCCTGGGATGATGATGATGATGATGATGATGACTATAGGAGCTCGGACTCCAGGGGTCATTTCCTGCAGGAGCGCACAGGAGCGGAGCTCAGGCAGTAAAGAGCCCAGGGGGTGGGCACATGCAACAAGCCCCGCCCCCTGCTCCCAGCAGCCCTCAGTCAGAGCAAGAAGCAGCCAGGTAAGTTGCAGAGCCCCCCCCCCCCAACCGTCCAGCCGCCCCCTTAAGCCCAAGCCTTCTC